ACGCTCTTGCTACTTGCTTAATAATCATGTTTCATGCGCATAAAATAATAGAAGAGACCATTTCCCTTTTTTTTCGTGGTCGCTGCACCAATCATGTCTCTGAGGTCATGTTGCGGTACCGCGACCTAATCGCGCTCCGTTAATATCGCAAGAGGTAAAGCATAAGCCATGCCAGGATGCCTAGACGATATCCAGATCGTTTTATTATGTATATCGGATCACTTGAAACTGGTATTTACTGCGTTCCTGGGAAACTATCTCATTTCTTTTACTTGATGGATAATGACGTTCATGAAAATAAAGTTATTCACATATTTCAATTATTCCAATTTCTGCGAGGCAAGAAGAAACGCAAGTGTAAAACGGAAAAGATCAAAAGCGATCGAACTTGCGAGTGATTTGTGACAATTTACATTGTGTCCACGTTGTATGTGAGATGAATTTTAAAATTAGTCAAGATTTCAGAAGATCAGACTTTCAAGATATTAAACTTTCCGTGAAACTTACTTTGAGCTTTTGTGTGTGACCACATCGACAACAGCAATACGACATGTAGTCAGGTAGCGCGGGCATAAACCTTAACTGTTCCTGCGAGTATTCGTCCACGAGTTTGCGATAATGCACCCTGAAAATGGGCCTCGTTGAGCTCTGCGAGCCTTTACCAAGGCGTCCCATAATCGCAGAGAATGCGGCCAGGATATTGCGCCTGCGTGCAAACCTCCTCATGCCACAGCGACCGTTGTACTTGCTCGTCCTTCTGTGAGAATATATGTATCGGGCGTCTTTGCGCGCGCGTATATTGTTATACTTAATTCCCGATAAGGATATGCTTCCTCTCCGACGAACAATGTTTAAACAACGGGTATGGCTTTTATCTAAATTTAATAATAAAGCAATAATTCGGCATTATCGTCACGTCATCCGAAAAGACACATCGATTCACGTCGGTTATTCGCACTTGTAACATTGATATATTAATATTTCTAATCACATTTCTAATCACACGTCCACGACACCGTGCAGCGCACTTTCTAATGCACTAAAGCGCATGCACCGACGTGCCGGCATGTATGTCGGCACGTTAAAGTATTTGCTATATCCAACGCCTTTCTCCGAGAAAATATTCCTATGACGAAGTTTCGGCGCCTATCGCAGACCGAACGCCTTTTGAAATCCAAACGAAATTCCAGTTTACATTTCATAGCAGCATATAGATGAGTACCATTCGAGAGAAAAGGAGAGAGAAATCTCCTTGCACAGTTAATACGATTGGAGATGCTGATATGTATCGTAACGCAAACACGACAGCAGAAGGTATATACATTCGGAAAAATTTTTGAGATTTTCTTGTCATCGGATGTTGTTTCTCTCGCGGATATTACGCAGTAATCGAGTCTCCTGCGACATACGCGGGTATTATTAGCAGATGATTATGGCGACGTCATGAATCGGCGGGACCAGTTCTATCGCAAGTTGTATACGTGTGGTACATGCATGAAGGATCGAGAGTTCCACTTGATGGCGTATAGCCTTCTCTACGTGTCGCTCTGCATGCCGATCCGCGGAAACCGGTTAACCAGTACGGAGTTGCTTCACCGCTTCTTACTCATCGCTTGTCAACTACACATGTAGTTGCTATATATTCTTTCGCACTGCGTTTTCCGACGGATCTTGATGCAGGATGATCTCCATTACCGACAGGATCATATCCGAGTACATTCGCACACGTAATTCGCACTCGTAATTGCTCGTACTCCGAAATAGTATGTGATATCGCCAAAAGAGCTATGGACGAATGATCATTTTTTAATAAACTTATATCTTTTCGTTAATCCGTATCGATAATTGATATGCTTGGATTATAAGTTTCTTTTTCCTGCAACTTAATTATATTTTTATAAAATACTCCGCTTTTGCAACTGTACGTATACATTGTTCTAATGTCACAGCTTCTCATCGTTTTGCGCCGGTCAAGCTTGTATACCATCGCGGGAAAACGGAAACTTGCAAAGGCGGCAAATCATTTGTTCGATTCGACAGTTTAAAGAGGGTGTACTCCGGTCCACGAGTTGTCCTTTCTGTTGTCGATTGAAGAACCTACCGGATGAACTTTATCGGCGCAGATCCCGCTCTCTTCGCTCCGTCCATTCAATGCTCCGACGCACATTGGCGGTCCAGATACCGTTGCCTCTCAAACGGTTAGAATACGTAAGTCTGTATGGTATTACCGTGCTTAACCGGCGATGGCAACATATCTCCCGGTACGTATAGAGAGAGACTGAAGTCCATGAGGAACACGAAGCAAGCCGTTCCGACCGGCCCACACTGATCCATCCCCACCGCGATCTACGAGGAGCCGAGCGTTGCGACCGACCGCTTTCTTGCTTCAACCGCGGCACTGAACACGTTCAACGGCAGCTGTTGAATACCACGTGTCCCCGTTCTCCCTCTTT